AGAAGATAAACTAGACAGATTTCTCTTTGCTTAATGTTTTTACACATCTAAAAAGGAATATGACCCTAATCGTTTTAGGAATAAAGACTTTCTTCCTTATCCTGGAAGCCAGGAAAGACTTTAGGCAGTCTCCAAAAGAATTGTCCGAGGCTCCAGATTATTTTTGTCTGAGCTAGAGAAGACAGCCATGTGGCAGATGATGTATGACTACTTCTGTGTAGTCTTTTAGTACAATCTAATCTCCATAGCCCCTAGGGATTATTGTATTTTACTCTTATTGCTCAATAGAAATAAAGCCAATGTTCAATGCTAAGACTCAGAATAGACATCAGAATTTAGCTGTCTTGCTAATTTCCTAACTTCCGACCTTAAATTCATATGTATTTTTGTTAAAGATACTAGATTTTGCAGATTATGTCTGTGTGGGAGGTGATGGGGCAGATAGAGGGAAAACTTTTTATAATCTCCAGAGGTTGACTCTGAAAGACCCTTGACTAAAAGGAGAGTTTGAAAGCTGTTTGTATAAATATCATACCATACTTATTAAATGAGGGAAAGCAACAGAAGGGCAGAGCTCTTCAACAGTCAATATAGCATGTGCTGTTTCCTATATTTAATGACATTCAGAGCAATAGAAACAAGTTGGCATGTAGCCAACTTCAGGCACCTAACTGAAGATAAATGTTCCCTAGAAACAGAGTAGTGTACAGCCTTCCTGAGAAAGAAACTCCTTTTCTTATTTTATATAAACTAAATTCCACATAAACTCATGCTTAATTTTTTTAAATAGTCAATTCCTAGACCATTCCTCACCTTCCTTAAAGATCCAGAAGTCTATGTGGGAGCCAGGTACAGTGGCTCATGCCTGTAATCCCAGTACTTTGGGAAGCCAAGGCAGGCAGATCATCTGAGGTCAGGAGTTCAAGACAAGCCTGGTCAACATGGTGAAACCCTGTCTGTACTAAAAATACAAAAGAATTAGCTGGGTATGGTGGTGCACACCTGCAGTCCTGGCTACCTGGCAGGCTGAGGCAGGAGAATCGCTTGAACTGAGGAGGCAGAGGTTGCAGTGAGCCAAGATCGCACCACTGCACTCCAACCTGGGTGACAAAAAGAGACTCTGTCTCAAAAAAAAAAAAAAAAAAAATCCAAGAAGGTTTCTGTGCTTTTCTGTGCTACCAGGAAGAGCTCTTATGAACTATTCACATGAGTGTTCATAGCCACTTCAGAAATCACTACAGGCAGAAAGGGACTTGAGAGTAGTGTTTTTTGTTTTTGTTTTTGTTCTTGTTTTGAGACAGAGTTTCACTGTTGTTGCCCAGGCTGGAGTGCAATGGCAGTCTCCACTTACTGCAACGTTGGCCTCCCAGGTTCAAGCGTTGCTTCTGCCTCAGCCTCCCAAGTAGCTGGGATTACAGGCACCCACCACCACGCCTGGCTAATTTTTGTATTTTTAGTAGAAACAGGGTTTTACCATGTTGGCCAGGCTGCTCTCAAACTCCTGACCCCAAGTGATCCACCCACCTCAGCCTCCCAAAGTGCTGAGATTATAGATGTGAGCCACCGCGCCTGGCCTCAGTAATCATAATCTTTCTACCCTAGTTATAAACTCAACTTGGTAAATAAAATATTGTAGGTGGATTTTATCATAGATTAAAAGTTAGGAATCGTAAGGGGTTTATTGTTTTTCAGTTCCATCCCTGAGTTACATATTCAGATTTTTTTTGGTTAGTATTTGTAACAGTGGTAAGAGCTGGTAGGACTTATAGAGAGGCATCTGGATCATGAGGGATCCACCCCCATGAGTAAATTAATATTCACTCTCAGGAGTGAGTTCTTGTCCTCACACGAATGGATGTGTTCCTGCAAGGCTGGGTCGTTATAAAGTGAGCCCACGTCTCCTTGCACATGCCCACTTGCCTTTCTGCTTCTCTGCCAGAAGCCCAGCAGATGCTGGCACTATGCTCTTGGATTCTCCAGTCACCAGAATCATGAGGCAAATAAACCTCTTTTCTTTATAAATTACCTAGCCTCAGGTATTCTGTTATAGCCACACAAAACAGACTTAGACAGTATTCTTCTTTACAAATAATTTGTAAATTTGGCCTGGCATGGTGGTTCACACCTGTTATCCCAGAACTTTGGGAGGCCAAGGTGGGCAGATCATTTGAGATCAGGAGTTCAAGAGCAGCCTTGCCAACATGGTGAAATCTCATCTCCACTAAAAATACAAAATTAGCTGGGCATGGTAGCACATGCCTGTAATCCCAGCTACTAGGGAGGCTGAGGCCAGGAGACAGAGGTTGCAGTGAACTGAGATCATGCCACTGCACTCCAGCGTGGGTGACAGTGAGACTCCATCTTAAAAAGCAAACAAATAATTTGTAAATTTGATGAAATGACAGAATAAGGATAAGAACAATGAACAGCAGAGGTTTAAAACAAGAACAGGAGTTTTGGCCTAGAATTAACAAACATGCACATAGATTGTCCTAAAACCAGAAACCCAGTGAATCCATAAATACCACTTTACAAAGATTTTGCCAACTTTCCACCTGTCACTCCTCATTACTCTCTCATCCACAAGTTTCATTAATTGTAATTGCTTTACAAATCAAGAATCTTGATTCCATAAAAGTATAGTCCAGCTACATATGAACCTTGAACCAAGTTAAAGTAAACAGTTCTTAGAGCAGAAGTAGTTAAAGTTAGCTGTGAAGTTTAGAGAAACTTGAATAAACCAAAGACAAAGCAGTGCAGCTCATAATTACCATGAGGCTAAACTATTCTCATTACAAATAGAGCAAAGGCTGGCACGGTGGTTCATGCCTGTAAACCCAGCACTTTGGGAGGCTGAGGTGGATGGATCACTTGAGCCCAGGGGTTCAAGACCAGCCTGGCCAACATGGTGAAACCCTCTCTCTACTAAAAATACAAAAATTAGATGGACATGGTGGCATGCACCTGTAATCCCAGCTACCCAGGAGGCTGAAGCAGGAGAATGATTGAACCCAAGAGGTGGAGGTTGCAGTGAGCCAAGATCGCACCATTGCACTCCAGCCTGGGTGACAGAGTGAGACTCCATCTCCAAATAAACAAACAAACAAATAGAGCAAAGATTGCTGTGACCATGGATTTTGACTTATTCTTATATCAGTACCCATTTTTATTTTGGAAGTAGCCGAGCTTGGGTCATCTTAGATTAAAACTACCAAAGGAAACAGGCTAAAACGAACCAATGCTAGTTTACCTCCTGTAAGTTGAATTTCTATTCTAGAGAGAATGGGTTAGGTGTGTTTGATTGCTTTAGAAGATGAGTTATCCAAATACATATGGCACATCACTGATAAGTGGGAAGAGAAAAAAATCACTTTTATTATGTTTTAATAATTAATTTCTAAGTTTTTCTTTTTTTGATATCATTTAGGTTTGGCATATTCCTGTGGGATTTTTCCTAGAATAAGACTTTTAGTGAGCATAAGGACTTACCAGGACTAGTTTGTGTTTGAGCCTACAGAGTGTATGTTTATATATCAATCTCTACCAGCTTTGTACCTTCCTATTCATATACCATGGGGTAAGCTTTGCATAGAATTCCATTACAATACATCCATTGTACACCGACAATGAGAGCAACTAGATTCTGCTCTTGTTCTATCTTGTAGTATATTTGGATGTGAAATATATCCTTTACAGATGATACTTCAAAACAGGTGCATACTTTGAAAGGTTTTCTTGAGATTTGTATATACCATGTCCTGGATCTGAAGAGATTTGATAATGTGCCATCATTGAGTAGATTTCTCTAATTGATAATGAGGGGCCTGAATAATTAAGAACATGTGGCTCTTCAAAATTAGTTAATGGTAATAATTAATATTATAAAAGTTCATCAAGGAAATCAAAGTTACAACTTTTAGGTAGTTTGTGGTTCTATAGTCTTGCTTTTTTAACAGTCCTTTACATGTTATCTTATGTCCCAAAATGAAAATTATGACTGTTCCGTTTCTCTTTCTAGCTTTTTGCCTTAAAGCTCCCTGAGGAAAGACTGTGTGGTACTCATTTCTTTATCTCCTTTGGTCTCTCAGAACAGAAGGCACTGTTGCAAATATTCACTGCCTCTTCCTCACCAGGATTTATATGGATAATATGGAATGAAATAATCCTTTATGGTTTTCTTATGCTATAATCATTTTTCAGACTTATTAGAAGAGAACAATATTTGTGTCTTCTGCCTCTGTCTCTTTATGAGAATGTGTTAATAGTCTTCCTGGCTAGCGAAAATCTTTTCATTCTTACTGCATTTGTTTGGTTCCGTATCATAATTTATGATCACTTAGATACCAGTGATTTCTCCATCCTACCATGATTGCCTCTTTATCTGAAAACAGCTGTCCACCTACCATTTGTCCCATCACTGACACTTTGCACATGGTCTCCATTTTATTGTGTATTGTATTTTTTAGTGTTTACTCTAAAAACACTGCAGACAAAGACCCTGTTATATATCTCTTTCTGCCTCCCATCTAATCTCTTTATGGTAATAGTATTAATAATACCAGATTGTCAAGCTCTATAATTACAAAATGATGTAGTGTCTGGCATGAAAGCGGATCTCTAATTATGCCTACCTGATGCTTTGCCTTATCCTTCACTAGGAATAAGAACCTATTTCTTAAGCCAGCTGTCATAGAACCATGGGGTAGGAGTTAACAAGGAAAAAATAGATAAATAGATGGCTCCCTTAATCTATATAAATTTCCTACCCACAGTCTTTTTTTGAGACAGAGTTTTCCTCTGTCACCCAGGCTGGAATGCAGTGGTGCAATCTTGGCTTACTGCAACTTCCGCCTTCCAGGTTCAAGTGATTCTCATGACTCAGCCACCCAAGTAACTGGGATTACAGGTGTATACCACCACACCCGGCTAATTTTTTTGTATTTTTTAGTAGAGATGGGCTTTTACCATGTTGGCCAGGCTGGTCTCGAACTCCTGGCCTCAAGTGATTCGCCCACCTCAGCCTCCCAAAGTGCTGGGATTACAGGCACGAGCCACCATGCCTAGCCAATTCTTTATCACTTAGTAATTCTGTCCTATTTCCCAGCTTATTTCCTTCACAGCATGAAATTGTGTTTATTGTTTGTCTCCCTATCAGGAACCTTGTTTGTCTTATTCACTGTTGAATTATTAGCACATAGTTCAGAGTTTGGTGTGTAATAGGAGCTTGATAAATATTTATTTATTGAATAATGAGAAGCATACTTGGTTTCATGTACATGAATACCTTGGAATTTTTAAAACCACTTTCTCTTCCACAGACTGGAGTTGAAGGACACATAAGATAATCCACAGGTGGCCTAGCACGGTGCCCTGGGGCCCTGGAGCACCGGGATTTATAGCGTGCCTGCTGGGGAGGTGGCTGTAGGAGAGGCCTGTGGGGTTGGGATGTCGGGGCTGCCCATAGACCCAGAGCAGAGCGTGCAGGAGCCACGGCACACTGGCTTTGTCCTGGGGCTGGACATGGGCAGTTCTGTGATCCGCTGCCACGTCTGTGACCAGGCTGCACGAGTTTGCAGCTCCAGCAAAGGTGGAAAGTCTTTATCCTCAAATTAGCTGGGTAGAAATTGATCCTGATGTTCTTTGGATTCAATTTGTTGCCATATTAAAAGAAGCAGTCAAAGCTGCAGGAATACAGATGAATCAGATTGAAATCTTGACATTTCAACACAGAGAGCAACTTTTATTATGTGGAACCAGAAAATGGGAAATCATTTTCACAACTGTATAAGTTGGCAAGACTTAAGAGCTATTGAACTTGTAAAATCTTGGAATAATTATCTTCTAATGAAGCTATTTCACAGTTCTTGCCAAGTGCGTCACTTTTTCACTGGAAGTAAATGAGTTTTTGCAGCCAATTTGTTCACTTTCACAACCCAGCAGACTTCTTTGAGATTGGTCTGCATTTTACAGAACCTGAGCAAAAGGCAGCTGAAGAAGAAAATTGTTGCTTTGAAACTATTGATACCTGACTGTTATGTAAGCTCACAAAAGGTTCTGTATATGCCACAGATTTTTCAAATGCTAGTACAACTGGACTTTTTGACCCATATAAGATGTGTTGGAGTGGTATCATTACCTCCTTAATTTCAATACCATTTCTCTTGTACCTCCCGTGTGGGACATAAGCCACAATTTTGGATCCTGGATGAAGAGATATCTGGTGTGCCTGTACCACTAGGTGCCTTGGTTGCTGACCAGTAGTCAGCCATGTTTGGAGAGTGTTGCTTCCAGACAGGTGATGTGAAAATGACCATGGGAACTGGGACATTTTTTGATATTAACACTGGAAATAGCCTTCAACAGACAATTGGAGGTTTTTATCCATTAATTGGGTGAAAAGATAGGGCAAGAAGTTATATGCTTAGGTGAAAGCAATGCAGGAGACACTGGTACTGCCACAAAATGGACTTAACAGTTAGAGCTTTTCACAGATGCTGCTGAGACTGAAAAAATGGCCAAAAGTGCAGAGGACTCTGAAGGAGTTTGTTTTGTTCCATCTTCTAGTGGATTACAGGCTCCATTAAATGACCCCTGGGCATATGCCTCTTTTATGGGGTTTGAAGCCTTCCACCAGTAAATACTATCTCTTAAGAGCAATATTGAAGTCAGTAGCTTTCAGAAACAAACAGTTATATGAGATGATGCAGAAAGAGATTCATATTCCTATAACAAAAAACGTGGGCAGATGGAGGAGTCTGTGAGAACGATTTTGTCATGCAGATGACTTCAGACCTGATGAAAGAGAATACAGACAGAACTGCTGACGTTGGCATGTCATTCCTGGGTACAGTTTATCTAGCTGGCCTGCTATTGGGTTTTAACAAGGAGGAACTAAAGAAACTGAGACAAAGTGAAGTGGTTTTCAGGCCACAGAAGAAATGTCAAGAATATGCAACAAGTATGGAAAACTGGGCCAGAGCAGTGAAATGCTCCATAAATTGGTATAACAAGACATAGCACTAAATGAAATGATCAAAACCGTAGATGGCTGATTTATGTGACATCCAGATGAGATGAAGCTCAGGGATAACGAATATGACAATGACTGAAAGGAGAAAATTTTAAATAAGCTTCATAACTTAAGAAGCATTGCTTTAAAAAACAAAACAAAACAAAAGCTCTTATTTTTTTCCCCTAAACCATGGTAAGGCAGCAATACCTCAAAACTTTATATCTTTTATTTTGTAGCAAATTCCAAAGGACATTAGTCATTTCCAATCATATTTTGACAGCTATAGGTTCTCTTCCTTTTTATACTGAGTCAGTGGTACACAGGAACATAATGATTTTCCTTCCAAGCTAATGGTTCTGGGTCAAGCACCGTGCACATTGTTCCAAAACTATGTGAAATATTATTTCTTTAATGCTTTAAAATTAAGTGGGCTATTTGAAGTGCACATAGCTAAAAAGAATGACTGAGAAAATGTGGAATTTTGAAACATTAATATTTTATGTTTAAAGCCATAATTTTCTAATATTATATCCAAATATGAGCTTAGTATGACCCTCTCAGACAAGCTTATGAGTTAATGCTTTCCTTTACTGGTCTTAAAGACACTGCCTTAATTTTTCCTTGTTCAACCAAAATCTGAGCATTCTTTCTACATTGAAAACACTGAAAACCTAATTTTAGTTAATGAACTAAAAAGAATACTGATTTTTAAGAAACAGAAAAATATTACTTATTTTCCTTCTCAAATAACATTTCTTTCAAAAACTTCTGGCTGAAGTATAACATGCTGTTAGTTAATGTAAATCTTCCCTTTCTCTTGTTCTTTATCTTTCTTCATTGTTTAGATGCTTATATAAATGTCTTTCGTTTTCATTAAGTGCCTAATTGACAGAGCTTAATTTGAAAAAAGTGCCCTAATTTATTGACCACTTAAGAATTGTCTTTATTGGGGTATTTATTTGTTTCTGCATCTTTTTGATGCTTGTTCAGTCTACTCATCCCTCTGCGTATGTGCGGTGGATAGCTGATAGAGGGGAGGAGAGTGCATCTATGCTCAGGATTGCCCTTTGGCCACTTAGCCAGAGATCCACAGGGCACAGCAGGGACACTCTCATATTCTCAGACTTTCTTGCAAGAAACAGTGAAGAGGAGTAAGTTGTGAGTAGTGTCAAGCTGGATGTAGAATTGTCCTAAGGCAGTTGACCCCACCTTCTAACCTGTTTTGCCTTTATTTGCCCCTCCCTACATTTGGGGTAGGTTCCATTTGGATATGCAGCAATAATGACTTTATTTCTCTCTTGGTCAGGATTTATCGCATAAAATCCTTTTATTATAGAGCTAGCTATTTAGTTACATAATAATCTAAGGGAGAGACTTCTAATTTTGTTTTTGCTGTCATATATGTCTATTTTGGAGACAGGTATGATAAAACTAGAAGTTAAATTGCATTTCTGCAAGTTCCATTTAAATAAACTTCAGATATCTTCTTAATCTAATTTTCTGATGAAGGCATTGTAGCAACTATATATTATCATTAAATCTACTAATGAAGATTTGGAAATATTTTTAGTATTAATAAATAGAGGTGTTTTATTTACTATAAAAAAAAAAAGAGAATTCACCGACACCTCCCCCTCCATACACCCCAGCTTCCCACTCTCCCACTCCGACTCTAGCTATAGGAATTATTGCTCCTGGGTTGAGCTTGGTGGCTCATGCCTGTAATCCCAGTACTTTGGGAGGCCAAGGCAGTCGGATCACTTGAGCTCAAATGTTCAAGACCAGCCTGGCCAACATGGTGAAACCCCCATATCTACTAAAAATACAAAAATTAGCCAGGTGTGGTGGCACGCATCGTTAATCCCAGCTACTTGGGAAGCTGAGGCACAAGAATCACTTGAACTCAGGAGGTGGAGGTTGCAGTGTGCTGAGATCACACCACTGCACTGCAGCCTGGGCAACAATGTAAAACTCTGTCTAAAAAATAAAAAGAAAAAAGAAAATAATTATTGCTCCTTGGTTTGTGTCCCAGATGGACTTTTGCAGCAATATAGTGACGGGGTAGTAAAGATATGAGGCTGAATTTGTAGTTGTCTAGACTTAATTTAATATAGAGTATCCAATTTATACCTTGTTTTTCATGCTCTTCACTCTAATGTCCTGGTAGGATTGAAATTGTATCTAAGGTCTGAGCACACAGCTTGCCTAAGGCTACAGTAGACCTTTCTTCAAATTTAAATTAGCTGAAGGCTGGTTGTCCTGTATGTGAAAATGTAATCAAACTATCCTGATTAGGCACAGGGCACAGCAATTAGGTGAATTATCTGAAGTCCTTGCTTTTTATCTGCTGACATTTATGATTAGAAAGCTTTAAAGAAGTTAAATTTCATTAATGGCATCCATTTGTATCTTATTACAGAATGTCTGTTTCCTGCAACCCAAAGAAGCTGCTTTTCTTTTCCTTATCTAATATTTAAGTTTGAACATATATTAAACATACCTGTTAAAGGAACTATACTGGCTGGGTGCTGTAGCTTACACATGTAATCCCAACACTTTGGGAGGTCAAGGCAAGAGGATTGCTTGAGCTCAGGAGTTTCAGACCTGCCTGGGCAACATAACAAGACCTTATCTGTATAATAAAACAAAAAATTAGCTGAGTGTGGTAGTGATCCAGGCCTGTGATTCCACCTACTCAGAAGGCTGAGGTTGAGGCTGCAGTGAGTTACACTCCAGCCTCGGTGACAAAGCAGACCCTGTCTCAAAAAAAAAAAAAAGGAACAATCTGCAGAATAAGGGTTAGGCATCTGTAGCCCTAGGTGTAAACCCTTTTTCTGCTACAGTCTCCAAAAGTGATCTCTATTAGCACAAGTTCCTTCTCTCCCCATCTGTAGATTATGAAAAAAAAATTCTGAGTAAAGATGCTAGGAGAATATTCATTTATTAGATGAATTCCATATAGACAAAGTATTTACCAAGAACCAAGCCCAGGAGCAGGGGACCACCAGGTTGCTTGGTGAACTGGCTTGGGTCAGAAATGGAGCAGGTCAAAACTCTTGTGCTAATCAGTAGTGGGATCGTGCCTCTGAATAGCCATTGCATTCCAGCCTGACCGAATAGCAAGATTCCATCTCTAAACAGATTTTTAAAAAGAAATAAGGTTTTGCCGGGCGCGGTGGCTCAAGCCTGTAATCCCAGCACTTTGGGAGGCGGAGGCGGGTGGATCACGAGGTCAAGAGATCGAGACCATCCTGGTCAACATGGTGAAACCCCGTCTCTACTAAAAATACAAAAAATTAGCTGGGCATGGTGGCGCGTGCCTGTAATCCCAGCTACTCAGGAGGCTGAGACAGGAGAATTGCCTGAACCCAGGAGGCGGAGGTTGCGGTGAGCCGAGATCGCGCCATTGCACTCCAGCCTGGGTAACAAGAGCGAAACTCCATCTCAAAAAAAAAAAGAAAAAAGAAAAAAGAAATAAGGTTTTTATATCCTTAATTATTATATATAATTATAATTAAGGATATAATTATATCCTTAATTATATTTAATAAGAATCTTTCTCTTTCTCTTAAAAGAATCTTTTGCTGACTCTCAACTTTTCCCGGAAAAAATGGATCATTCCCACCATATGGAGATGAGCTATATGGACCACAACAGTACCATGCCACCTTCTCACCATCACCCAACCACTTCAGCCTCACACTCCCATGGTGGAGGAGACAGCAACATGATGATGATGATGGTGAGTGCCATAGGAGGGGCAATGTGGGCCCTTTCCCATCCACTTGGGTAATAGAAATAATGGAATTGTAGTACTGGAAGTTTATTATCTTTAATGGTCAGTTTACCAGTGAGGAAAACTAAAGCAGACTCAAGCAAGTCAACTGATTTGCTCAAGATTATATAGCAAGTTCCTTACAGAGTCACACCAGAACCAAGATTTTAGGCTTCTTTCTTCGGTAATCCCTTCTAAAATCGACTATTTTCCGAATTAAGTTCTGGTCCTTATGCTTTGTGTGGAAAAGAGAAAAAGACAAAAGTTGATGGTGGGGGCCTGGGAGAGTACTCATGGTTGGTACCTATGGTAGTAATGCTCAATTAATGACAAAAGCCTCTCACTCGCATGAAGGTCTCTTCTTACTATCCAGGTCTTCTACTTTTAAATGTTCTAAGGTTCTTTGCCCATAATTCTCATTTAGAATTGCCATTCCTCTCTAACTGACTTGTTTTGGTTTTCTGGCAGCCTATGACCTTCTACTTTGGCTTTAAGAATGTGCAGCTACTGTTTTCCGGTTTGGTGATCAATACAGCTGGAGGTGAGTAAGCTATCAGGTAGTTGGAAGGGGATAGTCACATGAGAGGCAGTGACAAATAATTTGGAAGTCCAGTACCTCTTTCTTTCCTGATTACTGAGTCAACATGGTAATGATACATAACCATCTTGGTTCCTATTTTCCTACCTAGAAGGTAGGAAACACAGTACTTTTTTGGTCCTCTGGTAAACCTCCCTTAACTAACATGTATGTTTTGGAGCTCTAAAAAATAATTTAGATACCAGATGGAAGTCATTTGCAATCCATTTTCTTTCATTCTTTTCCAGAGTGTTTACTTTTTTTTTTTTTTTTTTTTGAGATGGAGTTTCACTCTTGTCACCCAGGCTGGAGTACAATGGCAGCAATCTTGGCTCATTGCAATCTCCGCCTCCCAGGTTGCAATCTTGGCTCATTGCATTCTGCTGCCTTAGCCTCCCAAGTAACTGGAATTACTGACACCTTACTACCATGCCCAGCTAATTTTTGTATTTTGTCTGTTATGAGATGAAGTCTCACTCTTGTCACCCAGGCTGGAGTGCAATGGTGTGATCTCAGCTCACTGCAACCCCTGCCTCCCAGGTTCAATCAATTCTCCTGCCTCAGCCTCCTGAGTAGCTGGGATTACAGGCACCTGCCACCACGCCTGGCTAATTTTTGTATTTTTAGTGGAGACAAGGTTTCACCATGTTGGCCAGGCTGGTCTCAAACTTCTGACCTCAGGTGATCCGCCCACCTCAGCCTCCCAAAGTGCTGGGATTACAGGCGTGAGCCACCACGCCTGGCCAAATTTTTGTATTTTTAGTAGAGACAGGGTTTCGCCACGTTTGCCAGGCTGGTCTCAAACTCCCGATTTCATGTGATCCGCCTGCCTCAGCCTCCCAAAGTGCAGGAATTACAGGAAGCCACTGTGCGCGGCCTCGGAGTGTTTACTTATTAGTCCTGAACATAAGACTAAGTCAAGTTCAAACACTACAAAATAAGTTAAAAACTATTGCTTTAATATAATACTTCTATTTTACAATAAATGACACAAAGAGTGAAATGACTTGCCCTCAATCGTAGAGTTAATACGTCAGAACTAGTACAAGGACCCAGACCTTCTAGAGCTACCTAGACCAGTGTTCTTCTAGTCTACCAAACTATGGCCCATATCCTTCCCGATTCTTGTCATGGCCATCTTAGTCATGCCTAGTTTGGGGGTAGATGATTACCCATCTCTTTGTGTCTATTGTGTTGTGTGGTATACTTTAAATTTAACTTGTGCAAACTCAGTAGTCAGTTGGACTGTCTTAGGTAACAGATGTCTCTTTGGAGCCACAAAATCAATTTGTTTTGGGAAGAGGGAGAGCATTTAGTTCACGTAATATGTTAAATTAGCAGTTTGAATACATTTATATCATTACCAACATGTCACAGTGTGACTTAGAATTGAAATCCCTATTCAGGAAATGTAGTCAGTCATTTATGAAACTAAATTGTTTTATTCCCTGTTTCCATATTCTACACTGTGTTTCAGTGTAACCTAATTTGATGACATCAAGCAGTCTGACCAAAAGGTTATTATTGTTCTGATTATTTTTCTTATCTTAATCAGAAAGTAAATATGTTCTTGGCAGAGGCAGTGGTTTTCAGTTACACCATCTTAGCTGTTCTCCTATCTGGGTAAGAGAAGAGGTAATAATATAATGTCTTCAAAAATTGAGAGTAGCATTTTTTCCTGTGTGTCTTTCTAGCTGGACAGCACATTGGCTAATGATTTTGCACGTTTGACAGTACTACCATATTTTCCTTCCATACTTAGAAATGGCTGGAGCCTTTGTGGCAGTGTTTTTGCTAGCAATGTTCTATGAAGGACTCAAGATAGCCCGAGAGAGCCTGCTGCGTAAGTCGCAAGTCAGCATTCGCTACAATTCCATGCCTGTCCCAGGACCAAATGGAACCATCCTTATGGAGACACATAAAACTGTTGGGTAAGAACTGAACAGATCCAGATGAAGTCCTAAAGAGCTCGATCAGTTAAGCAACATGGTAATGATGCATAACCATCTTGGTTCCTATTTCCTACCTAGAAAGGAAAGCAGCTGTCTGATCAGCAGCAGCCCTCTTCTTGAGTTAGTAGTTCTGTATGACCTTGATCAAAACTGTCCTTGGAGGTCTGGGTTTGTAGGTCATAAGCAGGCCAAAGGAGGAATGAGAGGAAGTCTTCTGCAAATACGAATATTTCTTCTGAGTTGTACATATTGGTCACTTTGGAAGAAGGGAAGTGAGGAATCCATATTTTATAATGTTTACC